AATATATTATTTAAATAATTAATTTTTTATTTATATAAAATTAATAATATTAAATATATCTATTCATTTAACAATATATAAAATTTTTATTAAATATTTTTAAAATATTTTTTTCCTAATTTTTTACCATATAAACTCATACCTATTTTATCTATATATATCTATATGAGATTTTTATTTTGCAAAACTGCAATCCATCTTATAAAATTATTTAAATACTTTTAAATTTATTTTTATGTTATATTTTAAAAATATTTAATTAATTTTATAAAATAAACTACATACAATTTATTCTATAAAACAATTTTCAATATATATATATATGGGTGTGTGGTATAGAAAGTGGACAAATTATAGTTACAGATGAAACTCTTTGCTAAAGACAACTATATCTTCATTGTCTAGTTTGCCTTATAAATTATTTGTTAACCATAGTCTATCTGCTTTCACATAAGTCTATCTATTTGGTGTTAAAAATCAACTTTACATTAATTTAAGTCAGTCTTATAGTTTTCCTTCATATCTGTTTGTTAAGATTGCAGTAGAAATCTTCTTGTCTAAATTTCTTCTAGTGTCGGACTACTTAGTGTTAAAAGTCATATAATTTTGCTAAAGGTCAACATTTTGTAAATTGCCACCTTTTCCCATCTACGTAATTAATCTTCTTTGTAAAAATTGCTTGGTCAAAATTGGTTACTATTTGGTTACTATTCGGTCAACATTTGTTGACTACTTTGTCTTTTTGTTAATATTTGGCTTTCTTTTGTATAGCTATCCTTTACTTATCTGCTTTGTCTATCTACGTCAAATAAATACGGTGGATATTCTTATCTTTTACTGTTTTTGTTACTGTTGATATTATTATCTGTTACTGTTTTTGTTATTGTTGATATTATTATCCGTTGATATTATCTTTATGAGATTAGATTATTTAGATCTAACTATTTCACATCCTTATAAAAAACCAAAAGCAACTTTAGATAATCATAATATAGTGTGTAGTTTTCTAGGTTTTAACCATAATTTACATTCTGATAATAGCCAGTTAAATAGTATTGTAGACCTAATTATAAATTTTTCAAAAAATTATAAAAAACAAAAAAGAAAAAGAAAAAGTAGTGCTCCAAAGGTTCCAAAACTTTGAAAAGCATTACAACAAAAATATTGTGAAACTAATTGAGAATCAAGACTACTTGCAACAACAAATTGAATTTGTCAAAAACAAAGTCAATTTAATTAATTCTCAATTTCTAAGTAACAAAGGGCCAGATCAATTTGTTCAAAACCTTTGTCATCAAACAACTACCTTGATCCAAAACAAAGAAGAGTTGTTTAAACAGGTCCAAAAACTTCAAAGATTAATTCTTGGGTTGAATGGGTGAAACTTCTTTCGCTCAAAATTCAAACTACAAAGAAGCTTTAGGAGAAGCAAGAAAATTAGGAAATCCCTACGGATTAACCAATTTTCAACCCTTAGCAGTCCAAGATCAGGTATTAGTAGGACAGCAGAATACCCAAATTATTTTGCTACTACGAATCCTTGAAAACCAAGAAGAAATCTTAAGTGAAATAAGGAATATAAAAGATCTTTTAAA